GTAAGGTAAAAGTTATGGGATGGTTTACCTGAGAAAAAAATAAAATCAAATATTTAAATGTAATTAACTTTGAGAAAATCTTAACCAGTAAGAATGTCTTGAATATTGTGGGAAAAACTAATGTAAATAAGAACTATAAACGGGATCTATGATGAGGCAACCAAAATGACTAGATAGAAAAGAAATATTATATTGATGTGATTATTATCTGTGGAAATATTAGAAAAAAATTTATACTCAATTGTTATCTATCAAAACAATTAATAATTGTATTAACTTAAGGTTGGTAAAAGAGAACATTATGAGAAGAAGAGGAAGTAAAGCTATTATGTGGATTATAGATCATAGAAACCAATTGTTAGCGAATGTTTTTTAAATGTAAACCCAGACAACACACTGTTTACCGAATATTAAGGTGATCATGTTAAAAAATTAATAAAATATATTATTAAAAAAAGAAAGAAAAAAGTCTCTTAAGTTTTTCAAAAGCTGCTTGGCATTCACCTATCCATTTCAGTAGTTGACTGGGCTTAGGCTTATCTCCCCCTCTTGTTTTCAATGTTTGTGATTGGGAGGGCAATTTGTGCAAAAGATGGGATGAATTGCCTATAGAAGTTTGCAAATCCTAGGAAACTTTGCAACTGTTTCCTGGTTTTTGGGGGAGCCCAGTCCAAAAGTACCCTCATCTTCTCAGGGTCCATCTCTATTCCTTCATTTGATATGTGATAGCCCAGGTAATCTATGTGATCTTTGTGAAATTCACACTTTGACAGCTTGGCATATAGTTTAGCAGAGCGCAGTTTTTTCAATACTGGTCTGACCAGTTTAATGTGTTCATCTTTGGTTTCGATGTAAATAAAGATATCATCCAGATAAACTAAGACCCCCTTATATAGGTGATCACGTAGAACTTTGTTGATCAGCTGCATGAATACTGCAGGGGCCCCTTGTAATACAAACGGGAGAACTTTAAACTGGTAGCAACCCAATGGGAAATTGAAAGCAGCTTTCCACTCATCACCTTTTTTATTCTTATGTGGTAATAAGCCTCTCTCAAATCCAGTTTTGAAAAGAAAAATCCTTTCGATAGGTGCACTAACATGTCCTTCATTAAAGGTAATGGATACATGTTTTCCCTGCACACAGTGTCCAGATTTCTATAATCAATGCAGAGACGAAGACAGGCATCTTTCTTTTCTCTGAACAAAACAGGGGCTGCCACCTGAGGTCTGGCTGGCTTGGTAAAACCCCGCACTAAGTTCTTTTTGATAAATTTGTCCAGTTCAGTTAGCTCCCTGGGAGTCATCAAATACATTTTTGGCTTTGGTAATTTTGCCCCTGGAATGATCTCAATAGCACAGTCTGTGGGTTGATGAGGTTAATCCGCCCCCTGTCCACTGAATGCTTCAACTAAATCTCTGTATTCCATTGGAAGGCTTTGCAAATCTGACTCACTGAGGACAGAGGCAAAATCACGATGTAATCCTCATATCTTTCAGGTTTCTTTAGGAATGGGCGGGGCTCCTACCTGTGGGAATCTCAACTGGCCTTCCTCCAGTTGATCATAGGGTTCCATTTCTTTAGCCAAGCCAACCCCAAAACTAACGATCACTCCATACAGGGAGCCACAATAAACACTAAAGTCTCTGTGTGGCCACCCAGGATGAAGTGTCTGGTAACAAAACTTGCAGGCACCCCCCTGCGACTGAACTGTCCAGTTGGCAAAAAGTTATTGGGGTTTTTAGTCTCCTGAGGGGAATTTCCATTTTACCCACCAATTCTGGGCTAATCATACAATGGGTGCACCCCAAGTCCAGTAAGGCTGGTAATTTCACTGTACTCCCAGTGCTTGGTATGAACAGTTCTAGGGGCACTGTAATGGGGTCTATTGGTGCACTCACCAAAGGGTTGTCTTCATAATCATCTTCCGCTGCTCTTGGGTCATCATGGTGTGGACCCGGAGCTTGACCCTCTCGATTGCGATCCCAGGGGAGCTCTATGGTTTCCTCGGACCTCATAGCAATCTCCCTTGGGTGTGATGGGGTTCTTGGAGGTCTCCCAGCTGCTAGATGATCTCCTCCTTTGGCAGGTGTCTTGCCAAGGCTCTATGTCCTTCCTTGTCACATTTGAAGCAGGCAGTGCTGCGAGGTGGGGCAGGTGAATATCGGGCGGTCTTCCCTCACTTCTCAGTCTGCGGCTAGAAGCTTGATCTCACTGGCCGGTGCTGATGCTTGCATTGATCAATCTCCACTTCCTCAGCTAGCAGGCACCAGTCGTACAGCTGTCCCGGGGCTCCGCAGGCTATGCGGGCATTGTACAGCTCTTGACTGAGTCCATTCTGGAAACAGCTTACCAGGATGTCCCCTGGCCAGCCCAGGCGACTGGCCAACTCTCTGAACTCCTTGGTATACTCAGCAACTGGTCTTCTCTCTTGCTTCACTGTCTTAATCTATTCCCGGGCTTTCTTATCGGTCTTCGAAGGGTCTGCAGAGGGCAGCCATAAAATAGTTGAAATTTCTCAATTCGGGTGCATTACAATTATACAGGGTCACTATCCAGTCAGCTGCTCTACCTTCTAGCGCTAGAGTGACCACTCAAACTTTCTTGACATCAGTAGGCAGTGTTCTCCCATAGATTTGCATGTAGATGAACTCTTGTGCCAGGAAATAACCCAGTCGCTTCGTGTCTCCATCAAACCTCACCCCAATAGGGATAAATTTCACCTTGACTGGCTGAGGTGCTCTGCTTCTGGCTCCTTGAGATGGATGGCCCCACCGCTGTGCTGCCTCTTGGGCTCCAGCTGCTGCCATCTCGCAAACCTCTGGCTCATCCTCCTCTGATTCCTTCTCCGACTCTTCTTCAGATTCATGGCTTTCTTTCAACTGCATGTTAAATTCATTGAGGGTCTTTTTCACCTACTCCATCACAGCTTCCATTGGCCCCGCTTTCGGCTCATCTTTCTCTCCATCTCTATCAGGAGAGGCAGGCTCTGGATTCTTTTTCTTTGCCTTCTTTTTTCCTCCTCCTTGGGTCAGGGTAACTTTTGGGGTTTTTTCTTCCCATCCTTCGTTCTTGCCGACCCCAAGTGACCATCTGGCTCGGTCTTCTTCACCAGAAGATCCAGTTTCCTCCAGGTCCCCGGAGAGGCTTTCATCTGCTTTTAGGCAGAGGAGATCTTCACCATTTCTCTGCCTGGAACTCCTCCAGGTAGATTTTGTTTGCGACTTCCCCAGTAGAGCAACAGCTTTTCCGGGCTGAATACTATGCAGACCTTGCCTTATGTAAGGACCCACTTCAACTAACCACCCAAGAAAGCAGAACTCTTGAAACAGGCATTGTCTCAAAAGGATACTTTTATTAGGGGTCAGTGACAGTAGGAAAGTCAAGGTGAGATCTGGAGAAAAGCCCACTGAAACGGTATAGTTAAGCAAGCAATATTCCTCCTCTCACCAAAGTCATAATGTCCATTTGAAATCCAGCCAATCCATAGGTGGTCTGAAGAGCGGGTAATTGGCACAGTTGGCGTGTATCTCAAGGTCTTCTCTGGTTTTGTTTCTTTGCAACCCTCTCCATGATAAGGGAGACACATTCCTTTTTCAAAAGGATGGAGGCAGCAGGAAAGAGTAGAAAGCAAAGGTTATCCCAAGCTAATGCACAGCTCCCCCTCCCCCCAGCAGAATGGCAGGCCCGAAAAGTAGAGTATATATATATGTGCAAGGTAAAGAATAGGGTTTTTGGGGCCTGACAATAATTGTATGAACACAATTTATTCAGTTTAGATCTCACTTTTCCTTTAGGAGCTCAAGGCAATATGCAATATATTTTTCCAACAGAAAACTTATGAAGTAGTTGAGATCAACCAGTGCAGTGGTTCTCAACCTGTGGGTCGGGACCCCATTTGGGGTCAAACGACCATTTCACGGGGGTCACCAAACAATGCAGTCCGCCATTTTTTCCCCTTTTCCTTAGCTGTGCTACTCCCTTTTATTCTATTGGCTTTTGAAAGCCAATAGAATAGACTCTCTTGAACAGAGTCTAATTCTATTGGCTTTCAAAAAGCCAATAGGAGTTGTCCATGCTGTCTCTGCCCTGCTGAGCCCGCCAAAAGTCCCATTCTGCAAACGGTGCTGCAAGTTGTCTGCAGCGAAGGCGAACTGTCTGGAAGTTTCCACCCCTCCCTGCTGAGCAACTACTAAAAATGTAAGTAAAAGAGGGCCAGGGGTGGGAGGTGAGAGGCCGGCGGGCGCAGGGAGGGTTGCTGGGGTGCGTGGGGCCCGGCAGGTGCCTTACCTCCCTTAGACTGGGCCAGCTGGTGGCCCAGCCGGTGGTTGGCCTGCGCCGTCTCTGCCGCTTGCCAGCTAAGCCTTGGCCGGTGCAGGGGGTGGCACCACACATGCGCGGCACTCGCGGGCAGGGAAAGTCCTCGACTTACGACCGGTTGGGTAGTCCTCGACTTATGACCGGTTGGGGGATCGCGGCATTAAAAAGGTTGAGAACCACTGAACCAGTGAGTTCTATGATTGAGTACAAACTTGAAAACAATTCTCTGAGGTCCTTGTCCAACATTTTAAACATTACTTGCATATTTTAAAAAACAGCAATCATATATCAATTAACAATTCTTGGGATTCATTCACTTATTCAATTTAGTTGATACTTCCTGGTCAAGAGTCTATATCATCTATATCTATACTATCTATATTTATATCTATATCATGTATGTATATATATATATATATATATATATATATATATATATATATATATATATATATCTTTCTCTTCCTCCCCCATATAAAGGAATAAGTGTTCGCAATGCAGAACCCTTTGCATCCATGGAAATTCCTAATGCCTTGAATCCTAATTTTCCAGTCTTTTTAGCAAAAACTATCATATTTTTCTAATGTATAAACATGGATTATTGTTAGTTCTTCTTTCAAAGGAGGAGGACAAGGAGGAGGAGAGAAGAAGATGATCATTCAATCAGAAACCATGCTTACCTAGGAGACAATTTATATCCATGTTGCAAGTATGTGCTGAGTGATCCTGTTGCAGCAAGTAAAAGGCCAAGGTATGCAGGTGAAGGCTTCATAGGTCTGGAAGAGAACTCAGGATGAAACTGAACACCGATGAAATATGGGTGATCTAAAGATACATAAACAGACAAACTGAAGAAGTTAGTAACATAGTATAAAAATCAAATTTCTTTAACATAAAACAATAATTGTTTCAATTATTAAACTATTAATAATGATAAAATCATGAATAATTATTAATAAATAATTCAATTCTGATTTTTATACAAATGTATGTGGATTGTGCTATTTGGTGATATAACCAAGAAAATTTATACCTTACTATATTCAGATAGCCCTCGACTTATGACCACAATTGAGACTGGAACTTCTGTTGCTAAACAATGTGATTGTTAACTAAATTGTACTTGATTTTAGGACCATTTTTGCCACAGTCATTAAATGAATCACTGTAGTCATTAAGCAAATTATATTGTCATTAAGCGAATCCAGCTTTTCCCATTGACTTTGCTTGCCAGAAACCCCCTGGAAAGATCGCAAATGGCGATCACGTGATTCTGAGATGCTGCAACCATTGTAATATATATGACAGTTGTCAAGTGCCCAAATTTTGATCTTGTGACCACAAAGACACTGCAACTGTTATAAGTATGAGGACCAGTTGTAAGTTACTTTTTTCAGCACCATCATAACTTTGAATGGTCATTAAAGAAATGCTTGTAAGCTGAGGACTATCTGTAAACATAATGATTCTTATTTTCCATAGGGTGGAGGTGAGGCTGAATTTTATAGTTTAGGCCGGGGGTTCTCAACCTTGGCAACTTTAAGACTTGTGGACTTCAACTCCCAGAATTCCTCAGCCAGCAAAGCAAAGCTGGCTGAGGAATTCTGGGAGTTGAAGTCCACAAGTCTTAAAGTTGCCAAGGTTGAGAACCCCTGGTTTAGGCTGATGTCAGGAAATGGTAGCTATTCTTAGTTGGATAACAATGTTTAGTTCAGTACAGGTTCTCATATATAATTTTGTCATTCTTAATTATTATCATGGCAGAGAAGCCTTTTAAAAATCCATTTGATTTTTTGGTCCTAGACTGTCAGCTCTCATCCTACTATATTCAGTCTCTAAATGTTTCAGTTTGATGGGAAAGGCCACTTTTTGAACAGTTTCCCAGTAATGCACAAGAAAATGTGTCTAATATTGGTAAATGTGGCATTCCCAGCCATTACAAAATAAATGGCTTGAGTTAATAGTTCACAATAGACATCAAGATAGATAGAACTAATGAAGTCAGGAATCTACATCTGTTTCATACAGTTGTCCGGATTCTATTTGAATATATTCAGTAAAAAGAGTTCATCAAGTATCTTGATAATCTGATATCCTGTAAACTGCTCTTACTAGTTTATGCCCTTCCTAACATTCAAGTAGAAATGGTGTTCTAGGTTCATTTTGCTGCTTTATGCTTATTTCTAATCATTCTTAATTATTTATAATGAAGTAAAATAAATTCCTAGATTGTTTTTAAGATGCTTAAAAATTACCTGCTTTATAACGTAATCTAGAATCATCCAGATATCAATTTCAAGCTCACTATTCAGTTTGTCCTTTAAAAAAAAAAAAAAAGAACATCTGTCCTATTCCAGTCATCTGGAACTTCACAAATCTTCAAAATTTAACAAGGATGACAAATACAGCAAATAGCTTAGAAGGGCAATCCTTCTAGTCCTGGAGATTTAAACTTGACAAGTTATCTTATTTTACTTTCTGAAATTGTTAACTACCTCATCATATTGTGGGCATATTGAAAAAGTAATACATCTCGAAAAGCATTTGAAAAAGTCATCCATTATTTGATTAGCAAGTTTATTTATCTGCTATGCAGATCTATAGCTGACTTACACCCATAAGTGCTCATTAACGGCTTCTTTTTAAAATGAAGTGGCATCTCCAATGAGATTCCACAAGTTTTGATCCTATTGTTCAACAGTTGTATTAATGACTTAATTGAAGAGATAGGGAAAATGCTTATTAAATATGCATATGCATATTCTACCTAGAAGGCAGAAATAAAACAATTCTGAAAAATAAGCAAAGTTTCCTAAAAAAAATAAGATGAAATTTAATTAAGATAAATGCAAATGTTTACACTTAAAAAACAGAAAACTTGTACACTATCATAGGATGAGTATACATGGCTTTATAATAATTACATGTAAAACAGATTTTGGAATTGTGGTTGCTCACAAGCAAAATACCTGTCAACAGGATAATGTGTTTACAAAAAAAGACCAATATAATTTTAGGGTTCATCACTGACAGTTTATTTTACCAGACTATGGAAACAATAGTTCTGTTCTATTCTATACTCAAGTTCTATTCTATTCAACCTCAAGTCCTGTGCAGTTTTGGGCACAGTATTTTAAGAAAAGCCCAGGGAAACTGGAATAGATTCAGGGAAAAAAATCAACAACGATCAAGGAACTAAAAAGAACTAATTACTTACCTGTAATTAAACTTCTTTAAGTGGTCAAATTCATACATGAGAATTAAGTGCATATACTATGCTCAAGAGCAGGAAGCACAGAAACCAAGATGTAAGATCCTGCCTCAACTACTCCTCCTAAGAAAGCAGAACTCTTGAAACAGGCATTGTTTCAAAAGGAACTTTTGAGAGTTAGTTATAGCAAGAGAGCAAAGCAAGATCTAAAATTTCCCACATGAATTGCTATATTAAAACTTTCATTTCACAAAACCCTACCCCAGAGCCCAACTATCCAGTTCGCGTCCAGCCAATCCACAGGTGTGAAGTTGTTATGGGAACCAGAGCTGATAAGGGACAGTTCCCAGGCGCTTCACCCTGGCATATTCCATTCCCCTTTTCCACACCCAAAGAAGATACATCAAAGTTGAGGAAGAACAAAGTAGAGGAAATAATTCTACAAGCCCCCCTCCCAGAACAGAAAAGCCTCCCTCCTCCTCCTAGAACGGCAGAGCCCCGAAAAGAAACATTGAAGGGGTTTCTGACAAAAGATTAAGTTAATCTGGTTTCTAATCCCAATTAAAGTTCTTCAATTGATCATCTCTGAGTTCACATATGCAGGTACAGGAACATAATATATATGAAGTAATTATGAAAAGTAACTACATTTAGCATTCAGAAAAGACCAATTTTAGGTGAATGTCAGGAATAACTATCTTACATTAAGAACAATTTGACAAAGACATCAATTAACAAAAATGTTATGGGTTTCCTTCATTTAAGCCAGTGGTTCTCAACCTGTGGGGCGGGACCCCATTTGGGGTCAAACGACCATTTCACGGGGGTCGCCAAACAAGGCTGTCCGCCATTTTTTCCCCCTTTTCTTTGGCCACGCCCCTGGCACCTGGTGATGTATAAGTGGTTGGGGGTCACCACAACATGGGGAACTGTATTATGGGGTCGCAGCATTAGAAAGGTTGAGAACCACTGATTTAAGCATTCAAGCACTGGATACATATTAAAAGATCAGTTTGATCTCAGACGTACCTTAGAAGTCTACAATATAACTGTAGATCAGGATGATCACTGGCATTATGTTAGAGATACAGAAATAGTTTTTTTGTGCCAAATTTCATAGTACACATTTTCATAGTTAGAAAAATGTACCTCTTTATTTTCACAGAAAGCTCATGCTAGGTCTCCTTAATAGTTCTATTTTTAATGTGCAACTAATAGCATCCCTAAAATTTCAAGATCTAACAAATGACAGCATTGACTTTTGCAGATTCACCATTTCTCCATGTTTTACAATAACATTAATTACACATTTCATATGCAAGGTGTTGCCAGAAGCCAAAGTCCTTACCATCCAGTTCAATGATCTCCATTCTCTTTCCTTCTGTGTCATGCCCAACAAACTTCAAGCCTTTATCTTCAAAGAAGTGAATCAATTCAGGATTTACCTGAAATGGGGGAAGGTAAAGAGGTAAAAGATAAAAAGATTTCTCAGTACTGTCATACTGGTGAAAATTTATGCCCAGATCAGGTTCTGCACTGACAGTTCAGAGTTTCTACTTATTTTTTGCATAAACATTCAGGGCCATTGTATAGACAACCATTGCCAAATCCAAAAGGATTGAGGGCTTGTGATCATTGTCCATATATATATATATATATATATATATATATATATATATATATATATATATATATATATATAGGTTTTTTTTTTAGGTTTTGCTAACAAAGAATAAAGAGAGAATGGTATAGCTATTTCGGGTTCCTTTAACCCTCATCAGCCAAACTTACTCTTCTGAGATTCGAACCTGGGCTATCTGCATGTTAGGCAGATGTTATAACCTCTAAGCCACGGGTTCTCTCATTCAAGGTAAATATATATATATATATATATATATATATATATATATATATATATATATATATATATATATATATATATGTTAGTCAAATAGTAATGATCACCAAGAGAGTATCTATAAAAATAGAATTTTAATCCACCGAGCTTTCGTCAAACACAATTGACATCGTCATATATATGGGGGGGGGGGTGATCCTGCCAGTTGTAAATCACTTAGCCTGCTCAACACAATCAGCAAACTCTATGCAAGAGACCTATGATGGAAATTCTAGGACTGTCTGGTACAAGAAAATTTGGAGGAGCAAACTGGTTTTAGGGAAGGCCAGTCCACTATAGAACAGTGTCTAGCACTCCATTATCTCATTAAAAAATGCTCCTAATGCAACACAAGCTTTCATAGACTTTAAAGTAGCATTTAATTCTATACCCTGAGCTAAATTGTGGAAAAAATGGAGGATGAATCCTTGACTGACATGTACTTTACTTTATATGCATGTCTATGCAAACAATACAGCAACACTTTCAAGAACACCGATTGGCCTTAAAAGAGCAGTGAAAGCACTTAGCACAGTATTGCAGGGAAGACCAACTAGTACTCAATTATCAGAAAACCAAAATCATAGAATTTGCCAAAATGTCCAAGAGACACTCCTGGAGAACAAATAGCCATAAGATTGTGCAGGTCTCATGTTTTGAATACTAGGGAGTTGTCCTTCACTCTGCTAATAGCAGAAAATGCCATGTGGATTACATTGCTGAATAACTTGTTCAATTCAATTTTTTTTTAAATTGGCCCGTCAAATCTCAGATTTATTTCTAATGTCTCCCTGAGATTGCAGACAGGCCTTATGATAATGAAGGCTAGAACATGGGTAATCATAGAGAACCATCCCCTTTCGTCTTGCTCCATTAATTATGAGAGTTGATTTTCAGTCCACATGGAAAAAGGCAATGGCAATTAATAGAATAGAGTAGAATTCTTTACTGCCAAGTGTGATTGGACACACAAGGAATTTGGTTCGGGTGCATAAGTTCTCAGTGTACATACAAGCAACAAGTGATAAATCATGATCATAATCATAAAATACAATCATCATAAATCATAAGATACAAACTCAGTGATAGTCATAGGATACTAAACAAGCAACATAAATCATAATAGGATACTAAATAAAGGCAATCAACATAAATCATAAGATACAAACAACAGAGTTATAGTCATAAGAAGCTAAGGAAATACGTAATAGGAAAGATGAAAAGATGAGAAGGATAATAGGTAATACAGTCGTACTAGGTGGTTTGACATCCTAGGGCATAGACAATATTGTAAGAATTAGTTGTTTGGCAGAGTGATAGCATGGGGCGGGGTAACTGTCTTTGTGTCTGGTTGTTTTGGAATGCAATGCGCTATACCAGTGATGGCGAACCTTTTAGAGACTGAGTGCCCAAACTGCAACCTAAAACCCACTTATGCATCATCAAGTGCCGGGTGGGTGTGGTCCATTGGGTGGGTGTGGCCCATTGGGTGGGCATGGTAACGGCAGGCTGAGTGGGACTAAAAAGTTCAATCAATCAATTCCAACTTTGTAAGATCTTCCCCCCCCCTTTTTTTGCACACGGTGGTGGAGGCCTAAAGCAAAAAGGTTTTATAAAACCCAGCTGAAGGCCTAGGACTGGGGCGACAGCGCGTGTGCCCACAGAGAGGGCTCTGAGTACTGCCTCTGCCACCTGTGCCATAGGTTCGCCACACTGTGTTATACTATAGCATCATCTTGAGGGAAGAAGTTGAAACAGTTTATATCCAGGATATAAGGGATCTGTAGATATTTTCACAGCCTTCTTTCAGGCTCATGCAGTATACAGGTCCTCAAAAGAAGGCAGGTTGATTGCAATTATTTTTTCTTTTTTTAATTTTATTTTTATTCATTTTTTTCTTACCTACAATAATAATTTTTCAACCAACGTGCTGTCTGGGTTTACATGCTAGTACATATTTAATTCCTAATCCTTTCTTCTTTCCTCTAACCAATGGTAAAATAAATCCCAAGTTTGATAATAGTCCGTTTCTTCTTTTTCTTTCAGTCTCATAGTCAATCTGTCCATCTCTGTGCATTCTAGTATTTTTTATATTATTTCTTCATCTGATGGTATTCCTTTATTTTTCCAGTGTTGCGCAAATATAATTCTTGCCACTGTTATGACATGCAAAGCCAAGTATAAGCTTTGTTCATTAGTTTTTCTTGGCATTATACCTAATAAAAAAAGTTCAGGTTTAAAATCAACATGTTTCCCTAACATCTTTTCTAGCCAGGTATGTATCTTTTCCCAATAAGTCTTTACTTATCACATGTCCACCAAAGATGATAATACGTGCCTGACTTATGTTTGCATTTCCAACATCTACCTGACATAATCTTAAATATTTTTGCTAATCTGGCTGGTGGCAAGTGCCACCTATAAAACATTTTATATAAGATTGCAATTATTTTTTCTGCAGTCCTAACTATCTGTTGAAGTCTGTGTCTGTCTTGTTTGGTTGCTGTGCTAAACGAGACAGTTAGAGAAGTACAAATGACAGACTCAGTAATTCTTTTGTAGAACTGTATCAGTAGCTACTTGGGCAGTCTGAGCTTTCTGAGTTGGTGCAGGAAGAATATTCTTTGTTGTGCTTTTCTGATGATGTTTTTGATGTTAGGTATCCATTTTAAGTCCTGAGATATTATAGAACCTAGAAACTTGAAGGTCTCTACTGATGATACTGTATTGTCTAGTATTGTAAGATGTGGTAGAATAGGAGGGCTTCTCCTAAAATCCACTATCATCTCTACAGTTTTGAATGTGTTCAGTTCAAGATTGTTCTGGCTGCACCAAAGAGTCAGTTGTTCAACTTCTTGTCTGCATGCAGATCCATTGTCATCTATACTGAGACCAATCACTGTTGTATCATCTGCAAACTTCAGTACTTTAACAGAGGGATCCTTTGAATACAGTTGTTGGTATAGAGAAAAGAGTAATGGGGGGCACCTGTGCTAATTGTACAGGTATCTGATATGATTTTGCCTCGCTTCACCTGTTACTTACTATCTGTTAGAAAGCTTATGATCTACTTACAGTTGGGTCAGGCACAGCTAGCTGAGTCAGTTTAGTGCAGTGGTTCTCAACCTTCCTAATGCCGCAACCCTTTAATACAGTTCCTCATGTTGTGATGACCCCCAACCATAAAATTATTTTCGTTGCTACTTCATAACTGTAATTTTGCTACTGTTATGAATCATAATGTAAATATCTGATATGCAGGATGTATTTTCATTGTTACAAATTATACTGTTATAATTTCACTATAATAGTTATACTGAAGGTCTGTGTTTACAGTAGCTGAAGCAGATTGGATTAAAACAGAATGGCTGCATTTGTGCAACTTATGAAGCTTGATTACTTTAAACTTGATGTCAGTGTTGCTTTTTGTGTGTGCAGTCTTAGTGAATTATGGAAATATAGCCCCTTTATTCTTCTAGTATTATGTGATTCAGAAAATGCGTCATTTTAGCTGGTCCAGCTAGTCCAGGGGTAGGCAACCTTGGCTCTTTTATGACTCGTGGACTTCAACTCCCAGAATTTCTGAGCCAGCCGTGCTGAGGAGAAAGGGAGAGGTCTCCAAGCTGAGCCATGCTGGCTCAGGAATTCTGGGAGTTGAAGTCCACGAGTCATAAAAGAGCCAAGGTTGCTTACTCCTGAGCTAGTCAGTGGTTCTCTTCTTTTCTCCCCCCAGCTCCCCACCCCAGCTCAGTCATTAGCTCAGTTCTGGAGCTGTGCCTGCCAGAATCTTAGGAGAGATTTTTGGAAGGAGGTCTTGTCCACTGAGGCAGAGGCAGCAGAAGGGAAATCCATTCCTTTCTCCCACCCCACTGCTGGTTCCACTGAGCAATAATCAACTACTTTTGGTGCAGCAGCCAGGGCAGGAAGAACGGGGGGCATTACTGCAGCAACTGCAAGAAAAGGCCCCTTGGAGCTTCTTGATTCCACACTAGGAGCAGATTCATTTTGCCCCCTCCCTTTCCCGACTTTCCAGAGGCACACTAGGAAACAGAGAAAAGGCAGGCAGGAGGGGAAAGGGAAACACATGCTGCAGACCAAAACATCCACCCAAAGTAGCGTTCATCTCCAAAGCCCCCCCCCCGATCTCTTCCTTTTCACTGCCTGGACCAGTTTTCCTTCTCCCACCTATAATGAAATGGCGCTCCCTTCCCCTGCATCCTACAAGTAGGAAGCCATCAAGGGGGGGGGAGGGATTGAGCAGCAGGAATTGAAAAGTACGTGCTGTCTTACGGCGGGCTGCAGGGATGAGAGGACAAGGGGGAGGAGAGGACAAGGGGGGGGGAAATCAGCTGTCGTGAGAAGAGAGGAAAAAGCTCTGAGCGGGCAAAGTTGTCTTTAGCCGTCAAGGAAAAGCAGAGGGCATCAACTGCACTGCAGGGTAAGAAGTAAAGGAAGAGAAGAGGGGGCTCAGAGTTGGGGGGGATGTACGCACAGGGTGGTAGGGGAACAGGAGGAAGCCGGGCTTCAATAACTGGCCACTTGCCGGAA